ACTGATTTACATTTTATTTTTTAAAGTTTAATTCCATTATTTTCATTGTTTTTTCTATTAACTGTTTGTTTTATCATGGAGAATATCCAGTATGAATCAATGCTTTTTGAGACAAATAAAATCCTGATCGTTGTTGATGGGTTTAAATTCCGTTGGCACAAAGCATTAACTAACAATATTCAATGTTGGTTACATTGGGCTTGCATTCACTAACAGTGCAAAAGCTTTTTGAAGATAGCCGAAGACGGACGTATTGCGGCATATAATACTCAAGCATTGAGATAGATCATTCGAAAGACGAAGACTACCTTTTAAAGCGGCAACTTCAAAAGCTCAAAACGACTTTTCAGCACCCCCATGCTGAAATGTGGAGTACTGACGCTACAAGACTATGTTCACGATGAAAATCGATACGAATGAATCCGAAAAATTTTCTTCGAATCAACGATTCCATCGAGAATATTGTTTGCTTTTCTACAGATTCAAATTTTAGAACCGTGTGTGAATTACAATCTGTATTTGTTGATGGTACATTTCATAGTAGTTGTCCGAAGGCTTTTCATTAATTATTTACTGTTCATGGATTGCGAAACAATAAGTACATTCCCTTAGTATTTGTTTTTGCCGAATAAAGGACAATTATCTTATGAATTTGTTAACGTTTTCCGTTCAGTTTCAGACCTGTACAAAAGTTACATTTTCACTTTCAGTTATCTGTGCAGATTTTTAAAAAGCGATACATTCGACTATCAAAGTAGTATTGCCGTCCCTAAAAACTGCTGCATGTCGCTTCCATCTAGGTCAAAACTGGTGGAAAAAAAATCAACAACTCGGTTTAAGTCCAGCGTACAGTGATTACAGTTCAGAAATCAGTTGCTTCTTGATAGGAATATTTGAACTACTGCCTTTTTTACCTTCGTCTGAAGTCAGTGATTCTATTGCTTTTGACTCCATTTCCATTCAGTCTGAAGATGCTTTCAGTCTAAAGATGATGTACCTTCTAAAACAAAAAAACAAAATTACCGTAGGATTTTACGAATTGTAGAGTATGCGGGTGTTCATCTGTTGCGTGTTTTTCAAAGTTCGACGTTTCGCCATCACCTCAGGTGGCATAATCAAGGCTTTTTATGCTGCTGTAGTAACTCACTTATATATTCGCCTCTTCGCTTTGAGATTCTTAAACACCTCAATGAATTAACAAAACATAATCAAGTCAAAATGTTTGTTGATGAAGTTCTATACATTTTTTGTAAAACTCATTGAAAACCTTTTACAGGTTTTTTGGAATGCCACCAAGGCAAAAAATAAATGGATTACACTTAAAAAATTCCATATTTACCAAGTGAATGGTAGAAATATTACCTATCCCTCAACCTTCGGGTACAGGTTACCTTCAAACCGTTGTCGATATTGGAGCACTTGTGGGGTGCCGTGTCATTTTGCGACACATTAATTATTTGCCCTTCCAGTAGGTGTCCTCAAAAAAAAACAAAAAACTCTTATCTTGTGACCAAGATGCGCATGGGCCCAGATGAGCGCTCTACGCTTTGGAATAAATACAGGTATACATCATCTGTTTTATCGGAAGAAAAGATGGACTCATCACTTTATTTAGTTCTTGCAATAATCTCATACGGATAAAACTTTAAATATTATCCAGGCACTGCGACTCATGATCAACGCAGTTGCCAATTTTCTTGTAGGTACTAAACTAAGCATATCTATCGCATGTCCCACTAATTCTCGCTACCTATATTATGCAATCAGTACCGAATTTTTACTTGTTCATTTTCATTTTGGAATCAAGAGTTTCGCAAAATTTTGCTGCTACTTTGCAATCAATTTTCCCAGGAAGATGATTAAAAAGAGGGGTCTCAAATGTGAGCTTTGTGGTACGTCTCTAGTTTCCAGAATGAAGTTATTCGAAATCAAAATAGTAACATCACCATTCTTTCCAATAGTCAAAAT